CATATGGCAAAAGCCTTAGTGAATCTGATTATGTCTGCTTATCTTAGATTGTCTCTTACTGCAAAAAAAAATTGAGGAGTCAGAGAGTTTTGGAGCCCCCAAAGATGGGCTTCTCTTGGTGGAAACTGTTTTCATGGTGGGATGTCACAAGTTCTAGGAATGCAGGGGCCAGGGAGGAGAGATGTGATATGCCTGTGCGATGCTACTTGGATAACCATCAAGGTCAGCCAGAAGCCATTGGTGCAACAAGAGCCCCAACTATTGTGGAGTCTGACTCTTCTTTCTTCTAGGTACCTGGAATCTAGCTCAGGGCACTCTCACCCATGCTGTCACTCAAGCCAGGAAACTGAAGCCACATTTAAAAGAATTCATATACATTCAAAACCATGCAAAGATTATAACTGTACAGCTTGGAAAATTATTACAAAGCACACTGTGTAGCCACACCCCACATCAAGGTATATTTAGACACCCCTGCCCTGTCATTTCCCAAGCTCAAATGCAATTTCTACTCTGAATTTTTCACAATGAATAGGTTTTATCTGTTTATGAACTTTTACAAATGAAATTCTCTAATGTGTATTCTTGCATCTGGTTTCTTTCGCTCAGTGTGATACTCAGGAGATTTATCTTTGTAGCAGCAGTACATTTATTTTTCAGTATTCCATTGCAGGAATGTAACACTTTTATCCATTTTGGCTATGACAAATGATGCTTCTGGGGACATTTTTGTTCCTATCTTTGTGAGAAATCTTTTGGGACACATAAGAACTCATTTGTGGTGTATCTGAAAGTGGAATTATAGAATTCTACTTTAGTAGAAACTACCCAACAGTTTTTCAAATTATACTCCATAGACTTTCAAATTATGCTCTACTAGCAAAGGAGGAAGGTTCTGGTTGCTCCACAGCCTTGGCAACACTTGGTGTTTGCCAATCTTATTCATGTCAGTCATTCTGGTGGCTTTAGGTGACATCAACTTTGCTACATAATTCCATGGATGTTACCTTTGTCCACTTTTAGCTGAATTTTAGTAACAGCTCTATAACTTGTCTCCTGTCTTATTTCTCAATCTCCTCTCCTTCCTGAAGCTCAAAACCACAAATCCACTCATGCCATCCTTTTTTATAAACTTCCTCAACATTTCCCCATCACCATCAAATCCAAGCTTGTTATAAGGTCTCTTTGATTTTATTCTGTCTACCTCGCTGTCCCTCCCCCTACCACAGACTCTCAACTCTAACAGCACTTCAGAGTTAGATTCGTTTGTTCATTTAACAAATACAGTTTGACTATCTCATATCTGAAATTCTAGGGTCCGGAAGTGTCTCAGATTTCAGATTTTTGGATATTTGCATATACATAATGAGGTATCTTGAAGATTCGACCCAAGTCTAATAACAAAATTCATTTACATCTTGTGTATATCTCATACACATAGCCTGGAGATAACTCAATACAATATTTTTAATAAATTTGTGCATGGAACCAGATTTGTATACATTTGAAGCACCAGATTTGTGGCTTATGATAGCACTCAAAAAATCTCAGATTTTTTGGATTTTGGATTTTTGGATTTTTGGGATAGGGATAGTCAACCTGTGCTTTTTTTTTTTTAAAAGAAAAACTATTTAATGAGTGCCTACTATGAGCAAGATATATTGTGAACAAAACAGACACAATCCTGCAGGAGCTCATAGGCTAGTGATAATTTTATCATTGTATTGTTATTCAAATAATTCCTGACACATACCCATGCTATTTTCTAACACTCTGCTTCTTCCCATCTTTTCTCAGTTGCTAATATTAAAAAAAATTTTAGATGTTGATGGACTTTTATTTTACTCATTTATTAATACGCAGTGCTGAGAATCAAATCCAGTACCTCACACATACTAGGCAAGTGCTCTACCACTGAGCCACAACCCCAGCCCCTTAGTTGCTAATCTTATCCAGCCTTCATGGTGGTTGAACATGAACTCATGGTATCGTCTCTGAATTTTTTCATTATGATCCCATGGTACTCTGAACATTCCATGATTAAATAATTGACTTTGTCATCTGTGTGTTCCACCAGAGCAAGGATGGACACTAACCCTTATTTTTCCCCCATATTTTTGGTTTCTAGTTTAGAGCTTTACAGAATAGGCACTATATTAATGGGTTTAGCATAAGTTATTCCATATTAATTTCTGGTTATTGAAGTATGAGTATGAGATTCTCAGTAGCATTAAATTTCAGGGATTAGGTACCAATTGTCTTATTCTTTCTTTGTCCAATTTGTCAATATTACATTTGTGTCTCGACTAATAGACATTGCATACACAGGAGCTTACTAAATGCAGCTAAGAAATGAGAAACAGCTACTGACAAGAACTTATTTTATAAGTAACCTTCTTTTGAACATATGCAGTTTTCCATGGATAGTGTGGGAATTGGTTTCCATGGATAAGCAAAATACATGTATGATCAAGACCCTTATATAAATGGACTGACATTTCCATATAACTTACACATGTACTCTCATACACTTTAAATCTTCTCCAGATTACTTATAATTTTATAATTATGTGTTATTATAATTACTTATTGTATTTTAATTACTTTGTGTTATTATAATTACTTATAATAATACAAAGTAAATACTTGTTATAATGTATTTTTGAGGGAATAATGACCAGAGGAAAAAAGTTTGTATATGTTCAGTACAAATGCAATTTTACTCCAAATACTTGTGATCTGTCATTAGTTGAATCCAAGAATGTGGAACACGTGGATATGGAGGGCCAACTGTATAAGGTAGACAATTAGTTTGTGAACTGTGCCCAGAGTGTTTTCTCATTTTAAGCTGATGCTAGGCTGTGCCTCTCAAAGGCACACGCCCATTGGAAGCATTAGTTAAGTGTGTTTATGTCTCTTCTTGCCTCTATTTTTTATGCACAGCTGCTACTACCAAGAATGATTGCTAATGAGAGCTATGAACGCCAGTGTCCAGAGACCAAGGGACAGAGGGAAGCCGTTCATGAACAAAGTACCACCCAAGCCCAAGAATCAAGTTTTCAAAATCTTTTATTATAGACCTTTTCAAACACATACAAAAATAGAGTACTGGGATGACCCTTACCTCACCATTTATCTATCATCAAAGTTCAACCAGAGGCAGTTTTCTGAAGGTCAAAGGCATTCGGTCACCTACCAAAAGTCTATTCCTGTTACTGAGAAAATACAAACAGCTGGAGACAGTGGAACTTCCTAACACATGAATTTCTGAGAGTAAAAATTAGACTTCAGAGTCTGACTAATGATGATGCAATCATAGAATAGTTATAAGAAAATATCTTGGCCAGTTGATATGCGATTTTGGTTGAGTAAATACTGAAGTTTTATATTTGGACCAGCTACACAGTTCAAATCAATCTCGTCATTTTCCCATTCCCAGACATCTGTACTTAGCTAACAACAACAGCAAATCCTGAGGCAGCAGCAGCAACAACAACAGCAGCAAACAAAGTAGCACAGAACCACCAACCCACACAAGACATTTTTGGGGGATGGCTGTAGAAGTGTTTGTACATACAATTTCATAATTTATAATAATATATTATTTTAGAAGGGTTTACACTAAGGCATTCAATGTTGTGAATAAGATGGAAGAGATGAGAAGTTTTCAGATTATCTCCACCATCTGCTAAGAGGTGGGCAGTGGTGCTATTTGATCCTGTCTTGGCTTCTCCCTTTGAACCCCACCCACTTCTTCCCCAGTGCTGCAGTCCGGCTACAGCAGAATCAGTGGGGGGGGGTGACGAATAACTTGTGTACATTGATACAGCAGGAATGGGAGCCATTTATTGTAGGACAGGAGCGGTATTTATACATTCCACACAGCTTATCTTAATTAACATAAACTAGATACAGCAGTCAACCCATAAGGAATCTCCACACTTAATGGCTTGCTGGTGTTACTTCACAAACCACTCCCTCTGGCATTTTGCCAGACGCCATCCTGACTTGTTTACAGACTCTACCCAGAACCATCTGCATAACTTCAACCCAGTATTTGAATGTTTCCCCTTGACTTTTCACAACACCCAGGGCAGGCATTGCAAATGCAAGAAACTCAGTGAAGGTTTTTGGAGTTGAGCTAAATCCTAGCAAGAAGGAAGCTTGAACATATGCACCCAATTTCAAGAAAAGAGCTCATAGAAGCAAGCTGTTAATTCCCCCCCCACACCTTATCTACAGGAGCCATCTTTTCAACTTGTTCTCATAGTGAGAAGTCAGTAAAATACTAATTTATTTTCCTTTTCTTGTTGCTTGTTTAGAAAGTTCTTACACATTTGACTCTTTGAGCAT